CCCCCCCCCCCCAAGCTAATTCTCTTAAGTCAAGCAAATTCCTTCTGGAAAACAAGGTGAAACCCTCATAGAGTTTTATTCATATTCACAGAGAAAAATATCTGCGGCTCGGGGTTGAACTGTGGGGTCCCTGGTGCTCTCTTGAGCCTGGTTGTTTTCTAGCAGACGTTTCATGACCCAAGTAGGTAACCTCATCAGTCTGCCTTGTTTCCTATGCAGGGTCACCATCACCTTCTCTGGACAACATCTTGACCTCACTGAGCTTATTACTGCCTCCAGGGAGGGACAGGTGAGATTGAACCTCCTATCAGAGGATGGGACCAGCCTCACCTCTGCTTCACAAACCTTAAATGACGCTGCAAGGAAAGTGTAGAGCTGGCTGAAAGTTGGCTTGTACAACAAGTATTTGTGAGGGTTTTCTCTTCTGGCTGGTTTTTCGGTGCTTTCCTGCGGAAGAAAAAAACCACACCTCCTTAAAGAAGTTCCGTGCATGTGTGTTTGTGTATGTGTTTATTTGTTTGTTTGTTTGCTTGCTTATATAATATATATTATGCAATATATATATATACATATGTTTATAGTATATATATATATGTTTATATGTGTGTGCGTGTGTGTATACACAATATATATATATATATATATATAAATTTTTCAAAGGAGAGAAAGAGAGGAAGGAAGGAAGGAAGGAAGGAAGGAAGGAAGGAAGGAAGGAAGGAAAAGAGAGAGGAAGGAAGAAGGAAATAGTAAGGGGAAAAAGAGGAAGGAAGGAAGGCAGGCAGGCAGGCAGGCAGGAAGGAAGGAAGGAAAAGTGGGAAGAAGGGGAAGGAGGGGAAGGAAGGAAGGAAGGAAGGAAGGAAGGAAGGAAGGAAGGAAAAGAGGGAGGCAGGAGGAAAGAAGTAGTAAAGGGAAGGAGAGAAAGAGAGGGAGGGAGGGAAGGAGGTTGAACCCATTTTGGGGTCATTTTTATTGTGTTAACCTCAACAGAGCAAAACCTAATGGCTCCAGGGAGCTCCAGCCAGCATTCGGAAGACCTAAATTCAAATGTTGCCCCCAAGTTAAGGAATCTCTCAGAGTAATTCTGGGCTGGCAACGCTCTCTTTCTCCTCCCCCCACCTGCCGTAACCTTGGAGCATCCCCAGGGGAAGGGCAGGAGGCGTACGTCAGACTGAAGGCCGGATCTTGGGAGAGGAATACCTACAGGCCTCGGGACGAGCGCTCTGAAGCGCCTGCCACAACGGCTGACCCACAATTCTAAGGAAAACCAGGAGAAGCGTGACCCTATTACGCAGGACAGACTTGCCTGTAGCCCTGGCTTGTTCATCTGTGTCGCAAGGTTCATGGGCTCCCTCTCCAGCGCCTGAAGCATGCGGAACATGTCGATGGTCAGCTCACTGAACTTCACCTGCCAAAGAACCAGGGGGGCATTTTAAACCAGGTTGGAGATGGCCAGGAGAAAGATTCAAAACAAGGCAGGCTCTCATCCCACCAATGCAGCTGACAGGGAGTGGGAGTGTGGCTCCATTGGCTGTGGAGGAAACTGGGGAAGGGCAAAGTCCGGCTGGGCAGAGCAGGAGAGAGGTAGAACAAAGGGGAGAGAGTTCAGAGGAAGACCCAGGCCCACTCCCTCTTCATCCTAGGGCACGCAGGGAGGAACGGAGAAGGGAGCAACGTGGGTTGCATGGCTTATGGGGGAGGAAAGGGCCCTGATTCCCTTCATTAGCCACACCTGGGAAGAGAGTTTAAAAGAGAGGCATGCTGAGTGCGGCGTCTGCTGGGACCAAACGTGAGTTTATCTTGTGTTGACTTTGGTTATCTGCGTTCCGGGCATCCTCCCAACCATGTGGAGTTATTGCCGTTCCTTTTTGTGGACCACTTTTTGGACTTGATTCTCTGCAGCCAAAGGCTGTTCCTGGGAGAGTTTTGTCCCTTTGTTTCAACTTCAAAAGGTCACTAAATGGAACGGTTGTAAGTCAAGGACCACCTATATACCAGCCAATGTCCACTCTGTCAGGGCGACGTGCGGTGACATACGCAAGCATCAAGGCAGGGGGGGAGGGGGAGGGAGAGACCCACCTGATTGTTGCAATTGCCAATAATGAGGGCGTCGGCCAGCGTTAACTGCCCCACAATCATGCCTTGTTCCAGCAAAGGGGCTCCTGTTTCCGACAGGCGGTTGGACAAGATGACCAGAGTGTTGTCATCGTTCAAGACCATGACTGGGTCTGCCTAGAGAGAAGATCGAGATGATGAAGAGTCTGGAGAACCAACCCCAGCAGATGAAGCTTAAGAGATAACATGTGATAACGGCATAAAAATCAGCACGGCCAATGGTTCTTTCCATATAAGTAGTCCTCGCCTTACAACCACAATTGAGCCCCTGTCGACCGCCAGCCCCCTCCGGCAGAGGTGGTGGAGGCGTGGGAGTCAGGGTCAGCATCAAGGCAACTTGGCAGCTCCGAGGGGGAAGAGGGAATGGAGCTGTCAGAGAGGGGGGGAGGGGCGGAGCCTGGGCTACCCGTCAGCCCTCAGATGAAGAGTCAACAGCCCCCAGATCTGGAGGTGGCTGATGAGGAAGAGGAGGAACAGCCGGGTCCAGTGCCTGACATGCAGATGCACAGAAGGCAGAGGAGAGGAGAGCAGTGGAATTCTATGAGCCGGTCCTTGGGACAGAAGAGCCACCGCTGCTAGCGAGGCCCCACCCTTTTTGCAAGATCCACCCAAGCAAGCCAGGTTTTCATTTACCCCACCGAGAAAAAAAAAATGCTCGAGAAACACATCCGAAAAAGATCCTTCCCTTTTCTTTTCTTTGCTTAAAAGATGGAATGATCTGATGGGAGGGAAATAGCCTCTTTGGGGTGTGGATGAGCAGGAATTTTTGTTAGATCTCCGCAGATCTTACCTCAATGAAAGCGGCCACTTCTTGCAGGACAAGATTCCACTCGACTTGATCCTCGGTGTTGAAACGGTGGGTGTAATCTTCGATCTCATCCGAGAGTTCCTGGGGGGGGGAAAACCAAGACATTCCTTGCAAAGGTCTTCTCTTAAGACCACCACCGGCTACAACCTTGAGTGTCACACCAAGGGGAGACTTGCCTTGACAAGATCCTTGACTACAACCATTTTGTTGAGTAAGAGACAAACCACGATGAACCGGGCGTAATAACGTAGTTTCTTAACCACCAGCTCAGGCCTGCGAAAAGAGGAAAAGCCGACGGGAGGACAACTATGCAGCAAAAAAGAAAATATCTTGCTTCTTGGGAGAGGAAGGTTGAGGGACACCATATTTAGGCTGACTTTCTTCTTCTCAAAAGTCCTAACTGATGATCTATCTTTCTCCTTCTTTCTCCTTTCTCTTTCATTTTGAGTAGCGATGGATGGATGGATGGATGGATGGATGGATGGATGGATGAGGCAAAGCAAATCCCGTGGAGAGAAGGAACTTTCGCTAAGTCCCAGAGATCCAGCCTCAGCTGTTGATGGACTTTCCAAAGCCCATGCCCAGAAGAACTTGTCACACCATCCTGTCCCCCCACCAACAGGAGCCACACAACGACAACGCAACATTTCTGGCTTTTTGAAGAATTAAAGAAAACTCACAAGCCTGACCTGTCTTCCTTATTGACTTGGGAGTAGTAAGATCTCTGCCGTATCGCAGAATAGAAGGAGAAAGCTTCGTTCAGATAGCTGGTTTCAGAGGTGCGAAGGCTGTGGAGAAAAGAGGCGCGAGATAAGAAGCGCTCTGCTTCGACTTCAAACAATTTTTTCCCTCCGGCACAATCCTGAGAGTCTTATTCCTTTCTATTCTGATCAGGTAATAGAGTTTGGAAGGGACCTTGGAGGTCTTCTAGTCCAACCCCCTATTCAAGCTATACCACCCTGGACAAATGGTTGTCCAGTCTCTTCTTAAAAACCTCCAGTGTTGGAGCACCCACAATTTCAAGAGACAAGCAATTCCGCTGCTTAATTATCCTATCAGGAAATTCCTCCTTAGTTCTAGGTTGCTTCTCTCCTCAGTTAGCTTCCTTCTTACTCTGCCTTCAGGTTCTTTGGAGAAGACGTACCAGGTGGTCTACTAAATATCCAAGGTGTCCACCAGAAAGGTGAAGGGGCTAAAAACGAACCACTACAAGAGACCCCGCTAAGCCATGCGGCTTCCAGGGCAACATCAGGGGAAGACCTCCATAGGCATCTTCCGACTGGACATTCTTCTCAGTTGGACTCCAACCTTTAACATGTCCAGCCCAGAAGGCAGGTTTTGGAGAAGCCCAACACTTCCAGAAACGCTCATGTCGAGGAGGACTATTCCAAAAGAAACTACATCACTAGAGTCTTTCTTTTTTTTAATCTTATCTGACGAAAGAAGCTTAACTCACTGTAGAAAAGTCATGTATATCATGAAGTGGTGGAATGAAGAACCTCCAACAAATAATGAGACTCCTAGATTTTAATCTGTTTGAAAGCATGCTCGCAAAATGTGGGGATTCAACTACAGGTAGTCCTTGACTTACAGCAGTTTGTTTAACGACCGTTCAAAGTTACTGTTGTGGCCCGCCAGTGGCCAGCAGAGCTGGCGGAAGACTCGGACAGTGAGGAGGTTGGGGAGGAACATGGGTCAGTCCTGGAGTCTGGGGAAGGCTCGGACGAGGGCTCTGCGTCGGAGGCAGAGATGGGGCCAGGGCCACCCGACAATTATCAGCTGCCCTTGGAGTTGGAGATCAGTGGGGAAGAAGAACAGCTGGAGCCTGTTCCAGATATGTGCATGAGCAGAGCTGCCAGGAGAAGGGAACAGTTAAGGAACAAGGGTCGACTTGGGAGTAAGGGCTCAGTTGGACGGTGAATGGCCCCTCCCAGAGGGAATAAAGAGAAGCGAAAGGGGAGTGGGGTTTTGCAGGAGACAATTAGTTAATTCATGAGGGTGAAGATCTGTTCCTGACTTTTTGTCAAGTATTGTTTGCCACGGCGTGACGTCTGGAAGATATCGGCCTGGCAACTCTCCAAACCTGATAACGGTCTGTAGTGGTGAAATCTCTTGACAGGCTGTTTGCCGGAACTTTGCTGGAGAGGAATTCACTTTAACCTATATAAATAAAAGGGGTTTGATTGGGACGAGGAGTCGGCTTCGTGGTTTTGGGAAGCCTGGGTCAGAATAGTTACAAGGGCATTGGAAAAAAAGAGACTGATGACCGTTTCCCACACTTATGAACCCGTGGTCACATGATCAAAAACCAGATGTAAGTCGAGAACCACTTGTAACCTGATCGCCCATGCAAGAAAGTTCTGCCTTTGGAGATGCCATCACAGCTCTTGAGCACATTTTCAGAATCGTTTTGCAAAACAGGTTCAGAACATTTGCAGAAAGGGAATCCCTGCTTTTTGTTAGCTTTGACCCTTCCCGCCCAACCTTCCCTTTCACACATGCAGTTACTTACTAGTAGTGGTAATAAAGCTGCCCAATCTTGGAGGCAATCTCTCCGATCTGCCAGCGCTTCAGGCCGTACCGATTGTCCAGAACTTGTCTTCATTAGTGACCCCACCACCCCAAGAAAAGGAAACCGCAGGTCAGACACTTCAATACACAACCTCTGTACTTTATAGTCTTTCAGGTTTTATTTCCAAAAGTAACAGAATATCAGGGTGACAGAGCTGGAAGGAACCTTGGAGGTCTTCTAGTCCAACCTTCTTCTCAGGCAGGCAGCCCTACATCGTTTCAGACAAATGGTTGTCCCATCTCGTCTTAAAACCTTCCAGTGTTGGAGCATCCACAACTTCTGGAGGCAAGTGGTTCCACAGATGGAATTGGTGCACTTGCACCAAGGCAAATTCTTTGTGTGTCCAATCACACTTGGCCAATAAAGAATTTCTATTCTCGCTGTCAGGAAATTCCTCCTTAGCTCTAGGTTGCTTCTCTCCTTGATGAGTTTCCATCTGTTGCTTCTTGTCCTGCCTTCTGGGGCTTTGCAGAATTGGGGCAGCCCCTCAAAATATTGGAACTCTGCTATCATGTCACCCCTGGTCCTTCTTTTCCTCAAACTAGAGCTATTCAATTCCTTCAACTGTTCTTATGGGTCGTAGCCTCCATTCCCCAGTAAAGTATCACTAAAGGTGTCACCTAGTTTGGACAATGTTTGCAAGAAAACCGCCAAGCTCAGAGAGCACCAAAGATGATGACCTCCTCCTCCTCTTCCTCCCCCTCCTCCTTCTCCTCCTCCTCCTTCCCCTTCCCCTCGAAACTGGGAACAGTTCTCTTACCGATGCTGCTGTTGGAACTTCCAGAGCTTGGTGTAAACATCAAAGGTCCTGCCGAAATAAGATTGCCACTGCTTCTGCCCGTATTGGGGCAAATCTCTGTAAGATAACAATTTAAAAAAACAAACAAACAAACAAACCTCAGTTTATCCCCCAGGAAGAAGAGGAGAAGTGACAGTTGGAGGGACATCCTCCGGGAGGCTTCCGTTATACTCATCTTTCCATGCCTTAAAGAACCTGGCACAACAGGGGCTACCTAGAGAAGTGGGCAGCCAGGCCCTGCAATTTTGCATCCCCAAGGGAGGCCAGCGGGAGCCAACGCAGCTCCCTCCACGGGTGCGCAAGGAGACCCAAAGTCAAAAAACGACTCACCTTAAGCCGTTGAAAAGCTGTTTCGATTTATCCAGCAGGTAACAGAAATCGGTGACCGTTTTCCTCTCGCCCTGAGGAATGTCCTCATCTATCCCACACATGGACATGGTTTCCATTCGAGATAGACTCTGTCCTTGGGGGTGGGGGGGGGGAGAATGCGGAGGGGAGGGAAATAAAATAAAAGAGATTTAGAGACAGAGATAGAATATTCTTTATTGGCCACGTGTAGATTGGACACCCCAGGAATTTGTCTCTAATGCAAAGGCTCTCGGTGTACATAAAAAAATAAAATGCATTCATCAAGAATCGTAAGAGACAACGCTTAGTGGTAGTCACAGGTTATTCATAAGCAATCAAATCATACCAGGGAACTCAATAAAAACAATATAAATTGCAATCTACAGGTCGAACCTGCGACCCCAGTGGAGCCCCAAATTTAAGCGAGACGTTTGTTAAGTGTTAAAAGTCTTTTAGTCCAACCTTATACAGGGTAGTCCTGGACTTACAGCACTTCGTTTAGTGACCTTAGAGAAGTGATAATGGCAGTGGGGGGAAAAAATGTGAGTTATGATCGTTTTTCACACTTACAAAGGGTTGCAGTATCTTCGTGGTCAGGCGATCACGAATACGATCACGATCAGCGAATACCTCACGGCCCACGTATTTTCGAAAGGCACCACGTTTTAAATCTGGAGGGTTAACGTAGATGGCCCTGCAATTTCCATGACCCTCAACCCAACCCCCGATCTCTTAAAACATTCGTTAAAAAGACCTCCGTGCCTCCAAGCGAATTTTAGTTTTTAATTTTAGCAAAACTCTTTGACCTCCCTCCCTGGAAAAGCCTCCCAGCTGTACGTTCACATTTTTGCCCCATAAACATGTCACCCGGGATATATTCTGGTGATTGTGATGGATTCCTTTGGGCCAAACAATCTCCTGGGTGCAGAGCTTTTGCCCAATCTTAGCTGAGATGAGAAATCACTTCATAATTCCAGAGAGAGCAGGGATCAGGCAAGGAATGAAGCCAAAATCACCTTGCTTGCTTGTAATTCTGGGGCTTTCTGAATCGTTGGGAGCACCAGGAAAGCAGGCAGGTGTACCTGTCTACACAGAATTAGGATCTGCAGAGACCAGCTGGCAGTTTTTAGAGCTTAAACTTTAGCCACCTAAATGTTGGGCTCAAAGGTGGTCCTACCTCAAGGGCCACCTGTACACCTTCCCATCGCCCCTGCATTTAGCTCTACTTGGAAGAAGTAGTTCTCAATCAGCCTCCTGAATCTTCAGGTCTTATGCACAGAAAGGTGAAGACAAGGTAAAAAACCCCACAGGATTGAGCAAGCAAGTAAACAAGGTGGTATGAACGAGGTATGGAAGAGGAAACAGATGGAGAGAGAGAGAGAGAAAGGCAGAATACACAGAACTGAAAAATGAGCAAGCTGAGAAAATGCCAGTCTGGCTTCAAATGGATAAAAACAAATTTGAGGAGTGGGAAGGAGAGGATAGAGAGAAGCAGACAGGCTAAAAATACCCCAGATGCAGCCAAGGAAGTGGGAGAAGGATGAAAAAAAAAAAGGTACAAAGTGGGTTTTTGTTTTTTTCCCCCCCTTCACAGAGGAACAATTTTGCAGAGCGATGGTTAAAGATGCAGAACTGCATTTAAGACCCATTAGCGGCAAACATTTTGATCTACAGTTGGAAGCTGGCTTATATACAAGGGATCGCGGAGCTGATCAAAAATATATTTTTAAAAAAGGCAAGGGATTCATCAAAAGGCATTTCTGCCCGTGTTTACATCGTCGAACTTTAAAAACTGACTTTTTTTTTTTTAAAAAAAAAAGAAGAGATTGGACAGCCATTTGTCTGGAATGGAGGGAGGAGGAAAGAAAGGAGGAGGAAGAGAAGGGGAAGGGCAGGGTGGGAGGGAGGGAGGACTTGGGAAAAGGGAGGGAGGAAAGGAAGGAAGGAAAGGAGGAGGAGGAGGAAGAGGAGGGGGAAGGGCCCTTATTTTTCAAAAGCCTTCCCTAAATCCAAACAATAACCTTCTCCCACGTGGGTTCTCCCCAGATCAGCAGATACACGGATCAGCTGCGTCCCTCCGGGGACCCAGTTCTCAAATTGCTATTAACAAGCAATTAGGGCTGGAAAGGCAAGGGAGTGCCACATGGGTTGATTGGAGGCCAGGTTTTGCCCGCTGCGCCAAGGGGCCGCAACTTCGACACCGGAGCCGGGAACGCAAGATTTGAACCCCTCCTGCCTTGACGGCAAGGGCGGCTCAGTCCAGAAAGGACCGATCTCAAATCAGCTATAAGAGGCGGGTGGATGGATGGATGGATTTGAGACGGCTTTGCCAGCAATGAAACATCTTTTGTGACTTATACAGGCGGCCACATGGCTGTGGAAAGGCAGCACTTGAGCATCAACAGGAAGCTCTCCAGAGCACAGGTCGTCCTTGACTTACGACCATAATCCCACCCCCCAAATTCCTTCTACTAAGCGAGACAGTTGTTAAGCGAGTTTTGCTTTCTGCTCCCAATTCTGGTCCTAAGTCAAAAACCTACCTTCTGTCAGTGGGTTAACAGCCCGGATGGGGTGCTGACGCCTTCATCGCCACCCGGATTTCATAGTTGACCCATCTTTTTTTTTTTTTTTAATCCAGTTTATAACCACAAAAAAGGAGGAAAGAAAATTGGGGGAGAAGGGATCATAAAGGGACCAAAAGGAACTGACTTCCAACTTTTCTTCGGTATAGATACAGATAAATCATAAAGTAACTACTGAGTTACTTTTTGTTCTCTTAAGCAACAACACAGGAACTTAATTTTAAATATATATGAATTAAAAGAATCAAAACAACACTCGAATCATGTAACAAAATAACCTCTTCCTCCAAGTTGAAACAAACATTTTAAAAGTTCTCTTCTCTCTCTCCTCCCTTCTTTTCTTGTCTATTTGTGTCTTCTCCCTCTCTTCTCTCTCCTTTCTTCTCTTCTGCCTCTTCTCTCTCCCTTCTTCTCTTCTCTCCTTTTCTCTTCTCTTTTCCCTTTTATTCCATTCAATTCTCCAGGTAGCCAAGGAGGAATAAATGAATCCATTAGGAGAGATTAATACCCTCCTAATCCAAGGAATAAATTCCATGGGCAGGTTAACTGACAGACGAAAAGGACCTTATGGCCCACCTGCTTTGATGGCCCCCAAAATAAACAGGAATCTCACTGAACAATGGTGCCTCTGCCTATGACAGGAACAAAAAGCCCTTTTTCACTGATCTTTTTCTGGTTTAATTAGCAGGCAAATTACTTCCCCGAGTTCCAGCCAAGATTTGGACAGTGATAAGGTTTCTTATATAGAAAATATATATATATATCAGGTTTTGATCCAGTGAAGCTCCTTGGCTAAAATTAGAAAAGGTCTAATTAAAAGTATAATTTTAAGGTCTAAATAAAAGTATAATTAAAACATTCTCTCTCTCTCTCTCTCTTTTCCCCCGTCTTCTCCAGCAGTTTTAATTGCTTCATTTCTCGGCTTACCTTTTCATAAACTGCTGGAACACTTTGCCAGAGAGAACAACCACCTGGCAATTCTGAAGAGAGTTGATGGATGCTTATTTACCCTTTGTAAACTCAAGAAACTGTCCCAGAGGACCAGGAAGAGTTTCCAGGATGGTCAGGTTCCATCCTTCACAGTTCTGGTTAAGAAGAGCCCTGGCCAAACCAGTAGGCTAGGAGAAGACTTCTATCTGAGCCACCAGTCCTGCGTGGAGAGGAGGAGGAGGAGGAGGAGGAGGAGGAGGAGGAGGAGGAGGAGGA